ATTAATATAAAATGACAATTTATTATTAGTTTTCTCGTTATAGTAAAATTTAGAAAATCTAGAAAATAAGATAGTTAGTCACATATTTTAAGTATATTAAACCAAATAGATATATAAACTTAGGTAAATTATTTCTGTCGTTGATGTAGAAATGATTTTGTCCGTCATAGATATAAATTTATTTTATTTTATTAGGATTAACGTTGAATTTCGATAAAAATAAAAAATAGTGGATTCTTATTTTGTGTCTAAGACATATATTGTTTTTTTGTCACTGCGGACCCATAAACTTGCAATAAAATATGAGTTTGTTTTTTCTTCACGTTACTGCAATCTGCAAATAAGTTATCAGTACTAGTTAAATACGACGTTGTTTTGGAGCAAAAATTAAGATATCAGTTAAATGTGAAAGAATACGTTGTGTATTGATCTGTGTCAAGGAGTTACAATATATAGAGACACTAATGGGCTTAAGTGTAAGGCCCAAACCTAATCCAAACCTAATCCAAACCTAATCCTAATACAGTTAGAATACAGTCAGACTATTTACGGATAAGACAGAATCCAATCATATCTAATCAAATCTAATCATATCCTATCTAATATTCTAACACTCCCCCTCAAGCTGGTGCATATATATTATGAGCACCAAGCTTGTTACAAATGTATTCAACCCGAGGACCTCTAAGAGCTTTAGTGAAAATATCTGCTAGTTGATTAGACGAGTTGACAAAAGTTGTCTTGATTTCTCCTGACTGAATCTTTTCCCGAATGAAGTGACAATCAATCTCTATATGTTTGGTCCTCTCATGAAAAACAGGATTAGAGGATATATGTAGCGCAGCTTGATTATCACAGATGAGTGTCATGGGTTGTTTCTGTTCACAAAGATGAAGCTCCTGAATCAACTGCTTTAACCAGATCAACTCGCAGGTAGTATTTGCCATTGCACGATACTCAGCTTCTGCACTAGATCGGGAAACAACAGGTTGTTTCTTGCTTTTCCATGAGATTAAGTTTCCTCCGAAGAAGACACAATAACCAGAAGTAGAGCGTCTGTCCGAGGGTGATCCTGCCCAATCGGCATCTGAGTAACCACAAATTTCTGTATTTCCCTGATCCGAATACAACAAACCTTTTCCTGGTGCTCCTTTGATGTATCGGAGGATCCTCACAGCAGCATCCCAATGTGAATCACAAGGGGAATCAAGGAACTGACTGGCCGTACTGACAGCGAAAGAAATATCTGGCCTAGTCACAGTAAGATAATTGAGCTTCCCAATTAGCCTCCGATAACGTCCAGGATCAGATAACGGCTCCCCCTGTCCGGGTAATAACTTGACATTAGGATCCATAGGTGTATCAACTGGTTTACTCCCCAACATACCAGTTTCTTCTAGGATATCCAAGGCATATTTCCTTTGACAGATAGAAATGCCCTGTCTTGATTGCGCCACCTCAATTCCCAAGAAGTAACGCAGCTTCCCAAGGCCTTTGTTTGAAATGTACTAAACAAATGCTGTTTTAACTGACGAATTCCGTCTTGATCACTTCCGGTGAGAATGATGTCGTCAACATAGACTAACAAATAGATACACTTATCAGGAGATGTAATCCTATAAAACACAGAATGGTCAACTTTACTGCGGATTAAGCCAAACGCCTGAACAGCAGAACTGAAACGACTGAACAGCAGAACTGAAACGACTGAACCATGCTCGAGGAGACTGCTTGAGACCATATAAGGATTTCCGAAGACGACACACCTTTCCAGACTCCCCCTGAGCAACAAAACCAGGTGGTTGCTCCATGTAAACTTCTTCTTGTAAATCACCATGAAGAAAGGCATTTTTGATGTCAAGTTGAAGGAGTGGCCAGTGACGAACAGCAGCAAGGGCAAGAAAGAGGCGGACTGACGCCATCTTAGCGACCGGAGAAAATGTATCGCTATAATCAAGGCCAAAGATTTGAGTAAAACCCTTGGCAACTAAACGTGCCTTGAGACGATCAATATGGCCATCAGGTCCAACTTTCACAGTAAAAACCCAGCGACAACCAACTATAGACTTCTCTGGAGGAGCAGAAACAAGGTCCCAAGTGCCATTGGAATGAAGTGCAGTCATCTCATCAAGCATTGCTTGGCGCCACCCTGGATGGGAAAGTGCTTCACCTGTGATCTTAGGAATAGAAATAGAAGAAAGACTAGAAACAAAGGTGAAATGAGGTGAAGAAAGACGGTCATAACTCAAAAAGGTATAAAGAGGATAAGGGTTACGAATAGTACGTGTACCTTTTCTTTGAGCAATGGGAAGAGTCTCTGATGAAGGATCCGGAGGGGAAGAAGCAACAGCAGTGGGCGATGAGTCAGCAAGAGTCGAGTCGACAGGAGGCACAGTTTTGCGACGCAGATAGGTGAGAAGTGGACGGTCCTCAGGTATAGAAGCAATAAGTTGCTCATCTGGAATAGAAGCACCTGCAGCTGGCAAAGACAAGTCAAGAAAAGGGACAGGAAGTACATGATCAACCTGTGACATCTGAGATGGGATAGAATTAAAGGGTTGTTGATCAAGAAAAGTGACATCAGCGGAAACTAAGTAACGCTTAAGGTCGGGAGAATAACAACGATAACCCTTTTGAAGACGAGAATAACCAAGAAAGATACACTGAAAGGCTTTGGATGTTAACTTATCCTTACCAGGAGTGAGATCATGAACAAAACAAGTACAACCAAAGACATGTGGAGTTAGAGGATAAAGAGGAACATCTGGAAGCAATAGATTATGAGGAATGTCATTGTGGAGAACAAATGAAGGCATGCGATTGATGAGAAAACAAGAGATGAGTACAGCATCTGCCCAGAAGTGAAGAGGAACCTGCATATGAATAAGAAGGGTACGGGCAGTTTCAATGAGATGTCTGTTTTTACGTTCAGCCACCCCATTTTGTTGTGGAGTGTGAGGACAAGTAGTTTGATGTAAAGTACCTTGTGTGACCAAGAAATTAGAAAAATCAATAGAAACATATTCCTTAGCAGTATCACTACGTAGAATACGAATAGAAACACCAAATTGAGTATGGATCTCAGTAGAAAACTTTTTATAAATGGAAAATAACTCAGAACGATTTTTCATTAAATAGGTCCAAGTGCAACGGGAAAAATCATCAATAAAGGTAACGAAATACCGAAAACCTAAGACAGACAAGGTACGACTTGGACCCCAGATATCTGAATGAACAAGAGAGAAAGGGGCATCAGCTCGTTTATTGACTCGACTGGCAAAAGAGGAGCGTGTATGCTTCCCTTGTTGACATGACACACAATCTAAAGACTGAAGACCGGACAAAAGAGGAACCATTTTCTGCAACTTTGAAAGACTTGGATGACCAAGGCGACTGTGGATAAGTTGTGGAGATTCTGTGAGAGAGCATGCTACTGAAGGACGAGGCACATCCGGATAATAAAGCCCCCGTGACTCACGACCCACTCCAATCATTTTCCCCGTACCCGGATCCTGCACAGAAACAGAATGGTTAGAGAAAGTAATGGTGCAAGTGAGGGAGTGGATCAACTTACTAATAGAAATTAAGTTATAAGGGATGCCAGGAATGTAATAGACAGATGTCAGGGCCAAGGTAGAGGTCGGACGAGCTTGTCCAATCCCACAAACTGGGGCTTTGGTTCCATCCGCAAGGGTAAAAGACGGTAAATGATCAGAATAAGTAAGAGATGTAAAGAGTTCCTTATTACCACAGAGATGATCAGTAGCACCGGAGTCAAATATCCAAGTGTCAAGTGATGTAGAATGAGAAACACAAGCAACGAGATTACCAGTATAAGGCTGAGACTGAGGAGAAGCCTTCCTGAGAGGGGTTTGGAGTGCAGCACAGTCTGAACCTGAACCAAATGATGCTTTGTCTGACTTAGCTATATTTGCAACAATAGAAGGAGAGTTAACCTCCGAGAGATCAGGAGATGCTGCTGCCATTTAAAGATAAAATATAAAAGCCGTAAACGAAGGCAAACGATATCCAATCAAGAAGAACCACGCGTCTAAGGTCAGACCCACAGAGAAACAATCAAAGATCCAGAAAGGGGAGGAGAAGACGAGCTTCTCTGTCCAAGACCGGCCGGAAAAAGTCGCCGGAATAGTGCTCACGCGCCGGCAGAAGGTGGCGCGTGAAGCCCACGCGCAGTGAAGACAGGTGGCGCGTGACGGCGCGTGGGAGATGCGTTGCTGACCGGACCACCACAGACCTGGTCGCCGGGAAGAAAGGGTCCTGATCGCGTGAAGTTTGGTCGGAAAAGTCGTCGGAAAAAGTCTCCGGTTGCCTGAACAGTGATTCTGACGGCGGGCGGTGGTTCCGGTGGCCGTCGAAGGTGCTGGCGCGTTTGGAAAAATCACTCAGAGGCTGTTTACAACCCTAGAAGGCTTGCCGGAAGGACGCACGGCAAGAAAGAGGACTCCTAAGCAGTGGGCTTAGGTTTTTAAAGCAAAAAAAAAAACAAGGTTTCTGAGCGGAAGCGAGGGTTCCTAGAATGAAAGAGCTCTGATACCAAGTTAAATGTAAAAGAATACGTTGTGTATTGATCTGTGTCAAGGAGTTACAATATATAGAGACCCTAATGGGCTTAAGTGTAAGGCCCAAACCTAATCCAAACCTAATCCTAATACAGTCAGAATACAGTCAGACTATTTACGGATAAGACAGAATCCAACCATATCTAATCAAATCTAATCATATCTAATATTTTAACAATATCTTTATAATCTTAATTTATTTCTGGGTTATAATAATTTTATGTTTATAAATTTATAGATTTCATAACGTTATTTTAGAAATAAACGCAGATAACTAATTCATTGCATATTTTACCTACTTAATATTCAATATTTTTATTTAAAGATAAATCAAATATTGAAAAGAAATAGGTATGATAAGTATAAAAAATGATAAGCATGATATCATATTTCTATAAACTTATAGTGCTAGCCTGCTAGGTGTCAGTGAGTTTAGGATTGATAGAAAAACTCAAAAAAGAAAGAGGATGAACAGGAAGACGAAGACGAAGGAGAAGGAGAAGGAGAAGGAGAAGAAAGTCGATGAAGTGGAACAATTATTGCAAAGTGCGCAAGACGAGATCATGTTAAATCTCTCCCTCAATTCCCACATAGCTCGTGCTTCTCCTTCTGCTGAAAAGGATAGTGATCTGGATCGTCGATTCCATGCCCTCAAAATGAAAAGCGATTCTCCTCTTCTTCCTCCTCCTCTTCAAGATCATGAACTGAAATCTGTTTTGGGAGAAGATCTCTCTGCCAGATTCGCCGCTCTCAAAGCCAAATCATCATCTGATCCATTAACCCCCACCGTCGCTACATCCAACGCTCACACCCTATACGATTATGAAGAAGAAAGCGAAGACGAAGAGGTTCAAGTTCAGAAATTAATCGAATGGGCTAAGGATGCTGCTCGTCTCAATCCTTCTCCTCCGTCCTCCGATGATGACCAAGAAACGTAAAAAAGCTATGTTCTATAATTTTTTCAAGTTCAAAGGAATACTTGTCCTTAGTATTTTACAATTAGAAAATCGATACATAGAAAAACTCACTAATCAGCATGGTACCGATTCTTAAATTTTTTTGAACTGATGTTTGGTCAATGTTTTTTTATGCTGATTCAAACCGAACCGGTTTTAGTGGTTTCATTCGGGAAATCGGCGAACTGAATTATTTTTATTTTATTTTATTTTTGAACTGATTTTAGTTCTGAACTAGTTGAGGACCAATTATAAGGAAAAATAAAATAAAAATACTAATAGTTGAAGACTAGTTCGCTTGGTTCTCTGAACAGATTTAAACGAAATAGTTCGGTAATAGTTATACTTAATAAGTGCATTCTCCATATGTATTAATATTATTATACTTGCATACGGGTAATAGTTAATAGTACTAAGTACTCCAGCTTTGTTGATTACTTTGTACTTCAATCTGATTCAACATACATGCATTTTATAACATTACATATTTGGGTTTATCATCTATCATTTAACATGACCACAAAAAATTTCCTACACACAACATTTTGTGAAGCTCGCAGCGAAAAAAAATTCGGCACGCAAAACGAATCTTTATAACATAACATAATCACTTTTCCTATAACATAACTATTATAAAACCCTACATATTTATTATGTTTGTAATGATCATGACTCTATTCTTACCTTCCTTGTTTATTGATCTTTTTGTCAAGCTAATGATGTGATTTCATGTGAGATGACTATTGAATAATATTAGTTTTAGTATGTAACGAAATAATGAAACTAATATGACTGTATTAGTTTCGATTTTTCAAAGTATCAGTCAACTTGTAGAGTTGCTTTACTATTTTATATTGCAAATAAGCACAGAATTATCACTACTAGCATTTTACCCTTTTATTTTAACAATAGAAGAGAATAGCTGGTTGACATTTCTTGTACTTATTCTTTAAAATAGGATCACTTGTTAATGGATTATATTTGAAGTTGGATGTCATTTCCTTCCAAGTAGTTGGGTCATGTTTATAAAAATCTTCCTGATTGTTTGTAATACCACTTTGAAAGTCAAAAAAATGATTCATGACTTGCTTTATTACCTACCTGTGAAAATATTTATTTACAATCTTACTGTTCGATATTTCCTAAACTTCTCTGTTGGAAAATTACAGCCTATATTTAATAGTGATTGTGTACAAAAATGGACATTTTTTGCTGGTGCAATTTAAATCAAATGCAGGTTCCCTTGTTAAAAGTGATCATTCTTTCTATCTCTAAGTGTACCACTATAACTGTTTTAACTCTCAGATTATGCAAGACATGCTTTGAAATTCAAATTCAACTAGTAAATAGTTCCATTTTCAAGCCTAGTTTAGCTTTTCATAGTTTTAGCTAAGAACTGTAACACCTTGGGTGATTGCCCTGCTTCATTGTGTGGAAGAGCTTAATGAAGATAAATATTGTTGGGCCTGTTATCTAGACTAGAGTGCAAACTTTGTAAATGTGATGCCAAAGGCTTCTCTACTTCTGACACTTTTGTTCGAGTCTTTGATTACCTATTACCATTACTTTAGGATTATATCATGTTTTTCTCTCTGTTCTGTTCTGTTTCAGAATTTTCCTGTAGCTGGGACTCTCTTTGCAGTCATTACCATTATATTTTATTTGTTTTTGGAGTCATCTGGTGTGTTTCGTTGATGTGGATCATGTAGTGAATTTAGCATTCAAAGAACTTTCAGCAAGGAAATGAAATCTTATATCATGATATATCGACCATGCTTCTATATGGAACAAATTAACCTTACTCTTTTTAGGCCAACAAAGATGTAACTGCTTACTGAAAATCAAAAGTTAGGTTACCCAATGATAGAACTTAAGCAATTTAAGCCTATAGTATGTTTGGGAAACAAAGCGGCTACAAACAGAAATCACATTTCAACCAACCAGAATGGTAAGTGCAAAAACACATGCTCTGAAAGAAACTGGTATACAAGCCGTCATAATTTTTAATGATATCACCTTACTTCCTCCATGCACAATCATTGAAGAAGCATTAGGTTTTTGCTGTCAGCTGGGTGAAGAAAGCTGAAGATATAGAGGAAAAAAACAAGCATGGAGTGCTTGTTTCCACCAACCCATATCATAACCAAAAGAATCATTATCTGCACAAAATACGACTTTCAATACATAACAGTTATATTGTATTTACATGACCTCCCACCGAGCCTGTGTCAGGGATGATGCAATGCAACCTGTTTTTGAGTTTGATAACTTATCGGTTACTGCTCTTGCTGCCATCGCATCCCCACTGATCTCTGCTGTGAAAGATCTCGAATGAATTTTATGATTGTGATCTCTTGCTGCCATTATTTTCCATTTTTTAGTACATCTGCTGAAAAAAAAATGCCAACATGTTCTTCATTTTTGACTCAGCTGCTGAAAAAGTGTCCTGGTAACTTGTGTGATTATTAGCACTTTGGCACAACAACGGGGCTAACCCATTCTTTATCTGTTGTATATATCATCTTAAGTTTCTTGAGCTATGCTGAACTTGATCTTGTTATAATATATGTTAAGCATATAGCTTTTCTTTCAAATTTTAACTGTTTAACACATTTATAAACTTATTTTCTCTGTCATAAATTTCATTTACTACTATGTAAGTTGTATAAAACAGCTCCCACATTGTAATTGTGTACAGTTTCATTGTTTCCTGACTTCCTGAAAGGGGTATTCTGCGAAAAGGGAACATGACAGGAGAAATTATCTGGTATGAAGTCTAGGAAACAGTCAAAGTCATACATTAATTATGACATAAAGCAAGGAAAAATATCTGGGTAATTTGAGTCATCTAGTTTTAAATCTTCTAGGGATTCCTTCTATTTAAAATTGTGCAAGATGAACTTGTGACAAAACAAATCTTGGAGCACAAACAGTGTCAAAGTTATTTGATTGTATTCATACTGTCTCTTATTAAAAAATCTGAATTTTTTTCAATTCCCCGTATAAGTTGAAGTGATGAAGTATGACACTTGTGTTAACTGAAGAAGAAAAGGTAAGAAACTTATGTACATACCTCCCCTTAGTTGGAGGTACAAGATTTTCATCCCATGCAACAAAATACAGGTCTCCATCAAGGTCACTCCCAGAAGCTTTCTCACCCTTCCGAGGATAAACAAGACAATCAGAAAAATGATGTAATTCTGGAGCATCCAATGCTTCCTAAATGAAGTGGAGCGAAGTCACCAACTGAAACTCTACTTGGCCAAAAAATAGGTAACTTGCTAACGCATATTGACAAAGTCATGGACAGCTCCTTTGGCTAAAGGATGAGCAGAAAACATGCAAATGATGAAGGATGTCGTCGTTATATAATGCTCTATTTGGTTTCGAAAATTTGGCTACGAAGTTTTTTTCTTTTTTTTCTTTTTAATTTAATATGGATGACCTCTGAATAATATGCTCATGAACCATGAAGAAAACTGTTCTGGGCCCTCCCAACAGGTTCCGTAGGGTCTAGAAGCAATAGACTAGGATAAAATAAGATTCATTATCCTATCTCCTATCAGTTAGACTCTCGTTGGGACACTAACCTCATCTACAGATAATGAGTTAAATTTCTCAAGGACACATATCTTAATCTCTATTCTCTTAGTTGTTATTGTGTACATACCTCATGTGTTTGGCCTTGCGCCTATATTATTGTTCCCGGTGATCTCATCCATTGGGATGTCTCTTCCATAGACCACTGCCATTGTGTAGGTCATAAGTTGTGTGATCTTCAGTCATATATTTTTTATCCTCTCGGATCGATCATGCAAATGATGAAGGCTGTCGTCATTGTATAATGCTCTCTTTGGCTACGAATTTTTTTTTTTTTAATTTAATATGAATGACCTCTGCATAATATGCTCAAGTACCATGAGGAAAACACTCAACGAATGGAGGGATTTTGAGAACATAACGACTAATATATAATAAATGAAGCTGAATACTATGAAAATGAAATGCTATGTAGCACCGATACCGACACGAGACACGTGACACGATACGACACGATATTCTGACACGTTAATTCTAAAAATTGTTAGATTTCGACACGTTAGGACACATTTTGATATTAAATAATATTTTTAATTTATATAGTGTATATTATATTTAATATTCAATAATTTAACAAAAAAATGAAATTAGACTTATAATATTCATCAATTTTGGAAAGAAACATAAGGTATCCCAAATATTTATATTAAACTCAATAAAATGGTAATCGTAATCCAACGATCTAATAGTTGAAACTAAAAACTCAACGCAACACATCCTTTGAAACTTTTTTTGAATTTCTATAACGTGTGTTGGAGTGTCGGATATGACACGCTAGAGTTTTTGAAGTGTCGGCACTTCATTGATGAAATGCTCTTTTGGCGTAGCATGGATATATTGCTCCAGCTCAGGCTCTTAGCACAAAGTGACTAACATCTTAACTTACCTTTTTTCTTGGCTGTAAATATAAAAGCTATGAAATTCCAAAATTGTTCATATTCTTGAAATAGCCTTAAATTTTACTCCCCCCATTTTGTTTCATCTGAAAGTTTTTTTTTTTTAGTCAAATGAAACATTAGTTGTTTCCTAAATTTTTTTTTCTCATTTTACACTGGTGTAAGACTTAGAATCTTGATCATTAATTCACTTGTATCCAATGACTCATATTACTAAAAAAATTGAGCCCTTAGATATAAGTGGATTTAACGGACAAGATTAAGAGTGTAACTTACACTGGTGTAAAATGATCCTGACTCAATAATAATAATGTTTTGAATATTTTATTAAAAATGAATTTATGCAAAAATTTATATTCAATTAAATTTAATTATTTTATCTTGTAATCATAATTATTTAATAACGTCATTAATTCTTGTGTACCTACTCAGATAAAATGGTAACGGATTTCAAAGTTTTAAATATGAAGGAACCTTTCCAAAGTAGTGTGACTTTCTCAGTACTCATTGAAAGATGCACTGTGAAATTACTCTCCCAAATTTGTGATAACCAATTATACGAGGCTGAGAGTTCAACTTCATCATTTTTTATGTCTAGAAGCTTAGCGTAAGAAACAAGTACTAACAACCATTGAATTTATTCCCATATATCTCTAAACCATAACAAGAGGAGAGTAATTAAGATACCTGCATTTCTCTAGTTGGGTCAACAAATACATAAAACTAAAATATTTCATAAAAATGAAATCTCAAAAAGGAGCACTCTTAGTCTGAATTCAACGTGCTATATAAAGCACTTGCCCTGCATGTGTTTAAATGTAACTTGAAGAAGCAATTCTACTACTTGTTCTCATATATCTGTCGATCATTGAGGATCACGTTTGATGTGAGCATAAGGGTCAAAGCTGTTAATAAGAGTAGCAGAGGCAGATGCAACATCATCCCTATAGAACCCCACTGAATTGGGGTCAAACATTGCATATCCATAAGAAGAACCTGGTGGTTGTGGTTGTGGTTGTGGTGTTGGTGGTGGTGGTGGCAGAGAATAAGGCATTGTAAGAGTGCTGCTGCGCCTGAGAGAAGAGGGTTCTCCTTCAATGTCACGGTAACGGTGAAGGTAAAGGATAAGAGGGTGAACGTAATCATCAAAGCCAAGCTTTCCCATTGCCCAAAGCAAATCCTCTGCGGTTACTGTTTTCCTTTGCTCACGCTGGCATCTCTCATTGGCTTCTGAGGTTATGAAGCTTATGTATTCAGACACACACTCTTGTATTGTCTCTTTTGCATCATCTGATATTTTCGCATGTGATGGAAGAATCCTTCTCATTATCCTTATCACATTCGCTATTGGCATGTACTGATCCTGTTCCCTCAACCCTGCCATTTATTTCAATATTGCAATCCAACACTCACAAAAAAAATACTTGTTCAACCTGAAAAAAATATGAACACAGATAATTACATATATTAAAGCAGAGAGTTTCAACTTTCAAGCATAAGCATATATATATATATGTAATTGAAAAAAAATAAAAAATAAAATTTTTTCTTTGTGGGGCTTCCTGAAACAACAAACAAAAGATTATGGTAAGTCTCAAAACTTCACCTTGCTAGCTAGTACTAGTAATGAGTAAGTTATTTTGAGAAAATGTTCATGAACCCATATTTATGCAGGGTTGGAGGAGGGTGCATGCATGTACAGTAACAGCAATGAATCAGCAATGGACAAAAGTAGAGTAAAGGGTGGCAATAGCAATAGTGGGTTTATTGAAGAGACAAGGTGTGTATGACAGAAGGATTTATTGAAGAGGCTACCGTTTACCACAGAACCTAAAATACAAAAGAAAACATAAAGTTCTCAGAATCTGCCAACAAAGAAACATTTATTACTCTTGAAAATCTCACTATATTTAATGCAGTTTGAATTTTGTTTTAATGCCTCATTAATACTAATTTTACTTTGATTTAGATGACTAAATTGCCTTAGGGCGATCAATGCTCTGAAGGAACCCTTTGAAAACATCTCCCAAGTGGCAACAGTCTCTAGGAACTGCAAGCCACACCTATATTCCATAACAACTTTCTATGCATAAATTAAATTTGTAACTGATTTAATAGAAGAGAAGACCAGACCTTCTCGTTGACCATGAGGATGATGGACATAAATTATATCCTTACTCTTATTCTCTCTCTCTCTCTTGATTAGAAGTGGATTTGGATATGTTAAAAATTGATCACGTGAATATATTATTTGATCACGATCATTCATTGATGATGCGATAAGAGAAAAAAAAATGTATAATTTTTAAATGAGTAATTGTAATCAAATAACATTACTATTTTTTCAAACGAGAGGATCCAAATTCGAGAAAAAAAAAATGTATGATTTTTAAATGAGTAGTTGTAATCAAATAACATGACCATCTTTTCAAACGAGAGGATACAAATTCATTAGAATTACAGGAGCCAAGATTTTAGCACCTCTTATGCACCTCCACTTGGCTATTGTCAGTGCAAATACATCTGAAGCGCTAATTGGGCTCGTATTGGCAACAATGTTTCACAAAGTTTACCAATTTCACAGGTATTATAGCATATACATCATTCTTAACTGATTTTTAGGTTATTATGAATAACTTTTATATATTTTTTAATCTTTTATTGCTCTAATTCAAATACGATTTTCACTTTTCTTTTAGGCCTAAAAGAGGGGTGGACTGTATAATAACGCTAACTTGTAAATGGTGAATTTGGAATTGGATTAAGAATTTAATCTTGATTAAGAGAGGTTAATTAGATAAGAGGTCTAATTATGTAAAATAAAGTTTTTTTGGGCAAAAATACAATTAGTGAAAATTTTGGGATAAAATTGCAATTACGCAAAAATTATCTGAAACTTGAAAATAATGTAGTATGAAACTATGAAATCACGTTGACGAAGGTTAGAATTATGTAAAAATGGATAAGTTATGAATCATGGAGGATTTAACACGAAGGTTATGAAAGTTGGAAATGGCCTTGAAGGCCGATGCATGCTGGAGGGAAAAACAAAACTTTTTCATTGCGGAACACACATGCATTCAAGATCATGCTTTAGGAAAGCATGATGTTACCTTGTTCGTGAAAACTCGTGATGATCAAGGTAGGTCTGAAGGGTTCAGACCCTCTAACGTTGATCCACACCACCACTGCGTCTAGGTGCAAGAACTCCTTCTTGTGAAACTGCCAAGTGATCACTACAATGAGGCTTGCTAAGCGCACACTGTGTGAAGAGAAAGGCTAGGTAAAAGTCTTTGAAAGAGTGAAGCTTTCAATGTGAAAACTTCACAAAAGTGGCGTAGGAGAGGAGAAGAGAATGACTTGGTTGGTTTTATAAAAACCCTAGAAAGAACATATACATAGAGTCGCACAAGAGGAGCCTATTTGTTAAAAAAAAAAAATCAGATTTTTAATCAATAAAAATCCCTTCCAAAAAGGCGCTCCATCAAAGAGAGAGAATATGATTTGTTGCAAATCAAATCTCATCAAATCTTGCCAACAACATCCTATCATATCTTTATGATATATAAGGTTCAAAACCTAATCAAATATCTGATCATAAATCATCATATAATCAGTTATATGGTGCGCCCCATATAGCCTAAATAATGACCAGATACATTTGAGTAGTTGCATTCAAACTTGAATCAAATCACTCAAATATTCTCCCAACATATCGTATCTTCTGGAGCTGATTCTGATGACTAACCAACAGCCAAATCAGCACCCCAAATCTTCTTAGATTATGTCCAAAAGATTTCCTCTTGATATGTTCCAACAAGATCTCATCTTATCCTTTTGTTATGAAACAACTTTTCATAGCCAATTCAAATTCGAATTTCAAACATTTGAATTCAAACTTTCAAACACTTAAATTTTAAATTCAAATTCAAATTCTAAATTCAAATTCAAATTTCAAAATTCAAATTTCAAATTTCAAATTTCAAAATTCAAATTCAAATTTCAAAATTCGAATTTCAAAATTCGAATTCAAAATTCAAAATTCAAAATTCAAATTTCAAATTTCAAATTTCAAATTCAAAATTCAACATTTAAACATTTGATAATTAATTTACCTAATTAAATTAATTAGTAATGTCTTGGACTATCCAAGCCCATTACTTAGATCCATGCGCCCTCCACCCTATCTGTGGAGTTCCAAACTACTTCTTGGGCTAATAACAATTGTTAGGCCCAATACCATTAATGCTAGAGCATCTAGACAATTAGGTGTTAGTGTGTGACCCATTAGGTCCAACATAGCCACTGACATAAATGGGTTTGGGCCCAATAAGCCCACAACCCATCTAATGACAACATAGAGCACTAGCAATGCTTTGTTGCCCCAGAACTAGTTAGATCAGTGACTTGATCATCCTATTGCACATATTTGGTTGCCGTATATATTTCCTTTCGTCTCGGTTACCTTCCCATAAAACCTAGGGTAAGGAAGCGTATCAACCCCTGCAGTTTAGGGTAAGCTTTATTCGAAATAGGGAATCTTCAATTTACAGACTCTAAAGGCAGATCATCTCATGATCTCTTTTACTATGCATAGATTCCCGAGTCCCTGTAAATGTCATCCCGATTTCTCCGATTTACAGATAACCTAATCTCTCACAGAGATTTGACGAATTCCTTCAGCTTATCACCCTAGCCCTGTGTTCTTTCAGGACAAGCCCAACAATATACGTATGAGTCTCCATGTTTCAGGCAGACGATGTGCACAATCAAAACATGCCTTCTAGAACACAGTCTAGGTAATAACTTATGGTCTTAGGAAAGACATACCCAAATATAAAGAGACTACTCTAACGATACTCTCTGTGAGAGTTCCTCATAGAGTCTCTTTGTGGGTCTGTTCAGTGCGAGCTATACCCTTATAGGTCCACCCACGACTTTAGCTAAGACATCTCCATATCTGTAGCACATGAGGTCTATACCTTGTATCCATATACAAGTAGATAAGTCGTGCTAGTCTTACCCGAGATTACTGACCTCATTCTCAGTATCTCTAGACTAGGAACATAAAATTAGGAATAAACATTCGGTATTCTTGAATCCTCATGATTGTGATCTCATCACAGATACTCAAGAGATACCTATTTTATTCCACGGGGTTTATCAAGTTATTCATAATATATTAACATTAATATCGAGACAGAATTATGAAACAAGATAAAGAGTGCTTTTATTTATTTGCAACAATATTAAAAATGTCTACATCTATGTCCTTATTTAATCATAAGATTGTCTCTAGGACACCCAAATACTAACAAGCTCCCACTTGGCCTAGAGCCAATCAGACCTAAGTCGTATACCCAAAGCCTCATAATGACTATCATGTTTTCTCTGAGAAACAGCCTTCATCAAGGAATCGGCCAGGTTATCATCTGTGGGAACATAATCCATCTTGACATCCATCCTATCAATGTTTTCTCTAATCAGGTGATATCTGCAGAGCACGTGCTTAGATCTTTGATGAGACCTAGGTTCCTTTGACTGCGCAATGGCTCCAGTGTTGTCGCACAGCAACTGTATGGGCTTATCCACGCTTGGAACCACCTTAAGTTCAGATATGAACTTCTTGATCCACACGGCCTCCTTAGCCGCTTCTGAAGCAGCTATATATTCAGTTTCTGTCGTTGAATCTGTTGTTGTCTCCTGCTTGGAACTCTTCCAAGATACACCATTTAAGGTGAATACGAACCCTGACTGTGACTTGCAGTCATCTTTGTCACTCTGAAAGCTGGCATCAGTGAACCCTTTCACTGTTAGCTCATCAACCCCACCATAGACCAGAAACACATCCTTAGTTCTTCTTAAGTACTTAAGGATGGTCTTGACTGCCGTCCAGTGACCCTCTCCAGGGTCCGACTGGTATCTGCTCGTAATGCTTAAAGCATATGAGACATCTGGTCTCGTACATATCATGACATACATGATGGATCCAATAGCCGAAGCGTATGGAATTCCACTCATGCGATCCTTCTCAGCCTGTGACTTAGGACACATGGCCTTTTGAAAGATGTACCCCATGACTGACGGGAAGAAAACCCCTTTTCGACCCTTCCATGTTAAACCTCTTTAGCATCTTGTCAATATACGTGGATTGAGATAAACCCAGCAGCCTTTTTGATCTATCTCTATAGATTTTTATACCAAGTATAAAGGCCGCCTCTCCCAAATCCTTCATGGTGAAGCTTTTTGAAGCCACTATTTCGTTGTTTGTAATGTGGGGATGTTATTTCCTATTAACAATATGTCATCTACTTAAAGTACTAGGAAGACGACATTACTCCCACTAACCTTCTTGTAAACACAAGGTTCATCCTCGTTCTTGAT